GGCTGGTGGGGGGGGGGGGGAGGATGGGGAGCTGACTAAAATGAAATAAAAAGCGGTGCTCGGGTGCGCCCCCTCCGCCTGAGGCGTGAGGTTTGAGGGCGGTTGGGGGCGCGTGTGTTTTTATTGGGGTCCCTTTCTCGCCGTCCCCGTATTGGGCTTTAAAAGGGAGCGTTTCCTAGCAGCCGTTTGCAGCAGGCCCATTCATATGACAATAGGGAGAGAGGAAAGAAAGGGCCTGGTCTGTTTAAACTGCCTCTGTCTTCACTCACAGCCTGGTGTCCGTGCGCATTGTGCGGGCCACAATGGGACCAAAGGGCTCATTGTGCCCGAAGACAAATCAAAACAGAATAAGAGATGATCAGATGAAAGAGTCGTGCACCAAAATTGCTTGGAAAAAATCTAAGCCTTACATCTGAGATTTATGTTACCTTTTGGCTGCGTGGCCTCTTGACCGATGTTTATAATAACCACTAGAGTCTGATAAACAAAGCGAAGCATGGGGAAACCTATGTAAGCAGTTTTAACGGGAACGGGGCAGGAATGGGGAAGGGGGCAAATTTGCTTGGTTTTGTTGGGTAATTAAAACTGAAGGGGCGTCCCCCACCCCCAACGTTATCACTGTGCTCCCCACCTCTCTGCACTCTGCCACCCTGTGCCCTCAGCAGATAACCTCGTTACAGGCAGGAGCGGGCCTCTCCGGGTGTGCTATCCACTTCCACCCCGCAGGCAACAGGTGGAGACCTGAATAACTTCACATATTTTCAGGGGAGAGGAGGCACTTTGGGGACCCGATGGAGGGATTAGATCAGATGTTATTGCTGGTGAAAAATTAAACAGAGCAGTGCTCTGGGGAGCACAGATTAATATATTTGGTGACTCCACGTACACAAAGCCTTACCATTGTAGCCGTGTCTGAATGCCTGTGAATAGGACTGAGCATATGTGGCCTGTCACCGCAGGTGCCCACATCTGTTCGTCTCCGGGCAGATGCTCTCAGAAAAGGGGAGAGCATTTCCAAAAGCACAGGCCCGCCCCATCCATACCCATCCTCTTTTTCATAATCACCTTCTGCAAAGTAGTTTCTGCCCCCTTCTTCTCCCTCCCTCCCTCCCACCCACCACCCCACACATCTGAGATGCCGAGAGATGCAGAAAAAAAGAAAAACAAGGCACATTGGAAGTGGTTCAGAAAGCCCTGGAAACATACTATCAAACAATACCCCCTCTTCCAAAGTTAATTTCCAGCAGGTTTTGCAGTGCAGCAAGCACACGAGACACAAGATGTGCACACCATGCAAGGGGGGCTGCAGGCCGCAGGGGAGCAGAAAAAGCTTTCATGCATGAAGCGCAGTACACTACAGCAGCATGCTGTGTTGGCAGTCATAGGGAAAG